AAACAAAATCAGTTGCCACTGAGTCTATTCCAACTCGTGGCAACCTCCTCATGCCCTCATCTATCTTGGTATCAGATGCTGACCTGTGTGTCAGAGTAGAACTGTGCTCCATAGTGTTTTTAATGGCTGATTTTTCAGAAGTAGATCACCAGGCCTTTCTTCCAAGGCACCTCTGGGTGGGTTCAAAATGCCAATCTTTCAGTTAGTAGTCAAGTGCTTAACCGTTTGCGCCACAAGTGCGTGCATTTGTCAAAACTCAGTGAAAGGACATACTATACAGCTATAGTAATCAAAATAGCCTGGTACTTGTATAACAATTGACACATAGTTCAATGGAATTGAATTGAGAGTCCAGAAATGCCCACACATGTATGGTCAACTGATTTTTGACAAGGGTGTTAAGTCCATTCGATGGGGAAAGAAGAGTCTCTTCAATAAATGGTGCTGGGAAAATTAGATTTCCACATGCAGAAAAATTAAATAGGATCCATGCCTCACACCATACACAAAAACAAACTCAAAATGGATTAAGGATCTAAATGTGCAAATTAAACCATAAAATTCTTAGATGAACAAGCAGGGGCATCGCTGTCAGGCCTAGCTTTCAACAATGGATTATCTAACATAATAACAAAAGCACAAAGCAAAAGACAAAATAAACAAACGGGACCTCATAAAAATTACAAACTTTTGTTCATCAAAAGACTTTACTAAAAAAGTGAAAAGACAAGCTACTGACTGGGAAAATATCTTCAGAAACCATATATCCAACAAGAATCTAATAATCAAAATATATATAAAACTTCAACAACTTAACAACAAAAAGACAAATAACCCAATCATAAGATGGGCAAAAGACCTGAATAGACGTTTCACCAAAGAGGACATCGGCCACCAAACACAGGAAAAGATGCTCTGTATCATTAGCCATCAGAGAGACGCAAATCAAAACCACAATGAGATACCATTTCATTCCCACTAGGATGGCTAAGATTTAAAAAAAAAAACAAAACAAAACAGAAAATAACAAATGTTGGCGAGGATATGGGGAAACTAGAACCCTCATCCACTACTGCCGAGAATACGAAATGGTACAGCCATTGCAGAAAACAGTGTGGCGGTTTCTCAAGAAACTAAAACTAGAACTACCGTATAACCCAGCAATTCCACTCCTAGGTATATATCCAAAAGACTTGAAAGCAGAGACTCAAAGAGGCTTGTACACCCGTGTTCATTGGAGCACTATTCACAATAGCCAAAAGGTGGAAACAACCTAAATGCCCATCAACAGATGAACGGATAAACAAAATGTGGTATATACATATAATAGAATACTACTCAGCTAGTAGGAGAAATGAAGTCTTGATACATGCTACAGTATGGAACGAGCTTGAAGACATTATGCTGAGAGAAATAAACCAATTACAAAAGGACAAATATTATATGACCTCACTTACATAAAGAGACAAGAAAAGGCAAATGTATAGAGACCAAAGTTTATTAGTGGTTACCAGGGGCGGGAGGGAGGGAGAAAAGGGGGTTAACTGTGATGTAAAAATCACACTGAGTTAGGGTATGGCATAGCTGATTATTGTAATTGCTGTCAATATGTTGTATAACTGTAAAAAGTTGAATTGGCAAAGGTTGTGTGATAGATATATTTACAATGACAAAAAAAAAAAAAGAGTAGCTGCTGAGGCTGCTTGTGTACAACCAAACACCTCATGGGATTTGGTTCCTTGGTTTGGAAGTTTCATGGGGCATCCCAGTTAATTGGCCTAATAACATGTTTAGTGCTTCTGTTCTACCTCCTAATTTGTTATGTAGTACCTGGGGTCTTAAAAGCTTACCAGCAGCCATCCAAGGCACAACAATTGATCTCTATTCACCTGGAGCAACAGAGGAAGAAGGAGAGTCAGGAATAGGAGCAGGATA